GCCACTGACGGCAGGCAGGCAGCAAAAGCATCGAGCAAGAACGGGAGGCCCTGAAACAACAGAAGGCCAGTCTCAGTGCGAACGCCCCTCATTCGACCCGACCTTAAAACAAGATGGAGCCCCCGAGCCTGTTGTCCGATTATCTCGGGCCTACCAATGGCCACGCAACGTCCGCGATGGACTGAGCGACGTCTCTGAACAGGCGAGCCTCAGGCACGCAAGCAGGCTTGCCCCGTGTAGGCAGCCCCGCACTGGCTTCCAGACGTATCTAGGACCATCAGGCTTCCCCTGAAAACGCCCCCCTGTCCAGCGCGTGGTAAATGTGGCACAAGTCAGCTTCCACCATGTTCAGTGGAGCACAGTACAACCCGTCCAACCCCGGGGCAAGCTGACTGGCGTCGGAGAGGACACCTTTCGCGGAGTCCTCAGCGATGACCTCCAGGTAAGGCTGGGGCTCAGGTGGGCCCTCCAGGGGAAGACAGCCAGAGAGAGCTGGCGGGGGCCTGGGGAAGGCCAGGGGAGCCTGGAAGCGAAGTTGCTGAACCTCGCGGGGGCGGGCCGCAATATCGAGCAACATAGGGCAATGCGACCTGGCAGGCCCATCCAAAGCGCATCGCGGGTCGAGACACGCCTTCGCCAGCGAGGGGGGGGGGGGGGCAGCCAGAAATCGATGGGCCGATACTTCCCTTAGTGTGATCGGCAGGTGCCTCCTCCGCCCGGATATGCGCACTGAGCAGGGGCAGCGTCTAGACATCCAAGTGTCTCTAGCTCCACGGGCGCAGTGTTCCTGTCGCCAGCGACTAAGAAAGGAAGCGCGCAGCGCCTCAGCCTTCTGCCGAGACGATCAAGCTTCTGAACATTACGCGTAAGAGCGGCAGCGTCGGGCACATTTTCAAGATGCCCCGAGCCCAGGATTTCCCATCCACGAACCCCAGTGTCGGCATGAACGGCCACTGCCCAAGAATATAACATTACTTCAAATGCGCGCGAGCCGTCGACCGACTCCTTAGCAGGCGAGCCCCCACGAAGTCACGCATGAACAGGCCAACTCCCGCACTGGGCGTGCCCGACTCGAGGCGACGACGCGGCGCTATGCCTTCCAGCTTTTGAGCGCAGTCCACAGTGCAGCAGCCTGCAGATCCCCTTGATCGACACGCAGTTCCTGAGCAGCAGCGATTGTGATACCCTCGGCATTCTCCTCCAAAAACTGCTGGACGCTACGCCAGCACGAGCCATTGAAGGAGGCGCGCGTCAGCTTCTTCTTCCGGGTGCCCCGCTTGACCCGCCTCCTAGCCCAGCTCCACGACCGGGGCATTGGCGGCTCCTCCCCCGTCGCCTCCAGGCTCGGCAGCGGGAGGTGGGCGAAACGACCCGCGAACCGCAGCCGTAGACTGGGCGTCCATGGGTGCGTCCTGACACGTAGCGCCTCCTACACCGCATGCCGCCGCGCGCGCCGCGGCCGCCTGGCCATCTGGCACTTGCGCGGGGCCGCGGCCAGCCGCGCCTGCGGCCAAGGCGGAGGCGCGCGCGGCAGGGAAGGCCACGCCCATGGCCTGGATCTCGTTGTGGATGGACTGCAGCAGCTGGATCCCGTGGCCCGCCTGGACCGAGGACTGAGCGCCGCCAATTAAGGACTGCAGGTTGAGGATGTTCGTCGCCATGGCCGCGAGGCCCAGACCCTGGTGGCCCGCTGCGGCGAGGGTGACGGCCGCCGTCGCCTCCGACACTTCGTGCTGCAACACCTCCCGGCGAGCGTGCTGGCCTTCTGGCGAAGCTGCACCATGCGGCCCTCCGCTTCGGCCAGCTGGTCGTCGACGTCCTGCTTCTCTTTCTCCTTGAGCGCCAGACGGTCCCTCGTGCCTTGCAGAACGACCTCTGGGGGATGTTGCCTCCGCTCCTCTGGCTCCAGCACCTGCACCTCGCGGGCGGCTGCGACCACCAGGGGGTGGTTCTCCGCGTACTTGAGGCGCTCGAGGGCTGTCACGGCTCTGCGTGCTCGCACGACGGCCTCGGACTCCGCGGGCAGACCTGCGGCGAGGGACGAGCCTGCTGCACCAGCGGGTCCTTCTGCAGCAGCGTGCACGTCGGGACCGCGGCGACGACGGCGAGCAGCCGATGCAGACCTGGTGCGGGCGCCCGCCGCCTGCGCTGCGGGAGGCTAGTCGGGCAGCCGGCCCTGCCTGTCCCTCCCGCACTTCCAGCACGTATGCGCGTCGGGAAGTTGGTCTTGAACCCGTACTTTTTGGATGCCACGCACTGCCCTTGCTGCTCCGCCACCGCACCCGCTCCCGCGGCTGCCCACGGCGGGGGCGCTCCTGAGGCCCCAGGCGCCATAGGGCCAGGCGGGCCACGCCCGTGCTCGCCGCGATGCTGGGCGAGGACGGCGCGGGCGCGCCAGCCGCAAGAGCTGCCGTGCGGCCGCGCGGGTGCGTCTGGCTCGCCTGTGCCAGGCGGGGGATGGCGAGCGGTGTGCGCCCGCCGTCTGAAGAAAGAAAAAGTACTGTGCACCGCCGCCCGCTGAACACGGGCCGCCGGCTGGGGTCTCGCGGAATCGGGAAGCCCCAGCGGCCCGAGCGCAAAACGCTCAGGAGGAGGAGGAGGAGAAGGAGGAGGACGAGCGAGAGGGGGATAAGGAAGAGGAGGAGGAGGAGGAGGAGGAGGAGGAGGAAGAAGAGGAGGAGGAGAAAGAGGAGGAGGAGGAGGAGGAGGAAAAGGAGGAGGAGCAGGAGGAGGAGGGGGAGGAGGAGGGCGAGCAGAAGGTCCATTGGCCTTTTGGATGCTTCTCGGAGTCTCTTCGGATGTCGGTTGAAAGCTTTTTGGCGTCCTCTTGGGGCGTTTTGGGGACCTCTTGGAGGTAACGGGGGCCTCTTGGAGCATGTTTGGCGCCTCGGGGGAGCCTCTAGGGAGCATTTCTCGGGGCCTTGTTGGTGGCCTCGGAGGCCATCTTGGGACAGTCGTGAGGAAGTTCAAGAAAACAGAAGGGGGGGAGAAGAAGATGATGAAAGTAGAGTACCCGAAATCTGGAGTAATCCCACACGGGTGAGAAATCAAACCCCAGCGTCACGACCGTCCTGCGGAGGGTCGTGGTCCAGAGGATGTAGCCTTTCAGCCATGTCGGTACCCAGGACAACCAGCGCCATCTCGACGGCGGCGGTCAGCTTGGTCGCACGCTCCGTGGGGCTCTGGGAGTCGGAGTCGCACACCCACCCGACTTGCTAAGAACCTGCGGTGCTGTAGACCACCAGTGGGGGGGTCATCCAGATCTCCTGGCAATACCAGCACGTGAGAAATGATACGTTGGGCACTCCGCCCAGTAGTGTCGAAACGAGGGAGATGCCGCTCCGCACTGACGGCAGGCCTTCCCCGAGCAGCGTCGCGTCTCCGAGGATACAGCTTCTGCACGAAATATACGTACAAGCCTGCGATCATCCTCGCCCAGGCGCTTGAAGAAACGCTTGTACACCATATTCCATATTCGACTCCGCATCCACGTCTACGTCGAGGATCTCTTCAGCATCGAAACGTTTCTCCTTGACCTCAGCCAAACATCTGATCCTGGCCACTCAGCGCAGAAGATGTTCGACCTTCTTCTCATGGCGTGGGTGATCAGGGCTATGAGTCCAGAACCTCCTCTGGCCATCCACGATACCTTTCAGCACCCGCACCACTCTATGATCGTGAGCGTCACTCACCTCAAGGCAGCAACCACGGCGATCTGCGTAGGCAACAAAGCAACGGCCCAGCACCTGGGCATGCATGATCATAGCATTCTCCAAGACAGTCGACCACACTAGGCGCTCCTGCGAGATAACTTTGAAGGCCTGCAGGGAACCCGACAGGCGGGGGTGTAGATGTACATGTTGTGCCCCCCATCGTCTACAGCACCACCGTCGATTGGTCGACCTGGTAATCGATCGATACAGAGCTCTGCACGTCGAAACAGGAGGCGGCGCCACCAGCGGGCAAGCCCACAACCACAGCGGGCGAATATATGCAACTGCGAGCCGAGCACGGATCTCCGCGCATTCGGATCGATGTGTGAAGCTTGTCCCAGCCCCCCCGAGGCTGGATTGGGGTCAATGCATCCGCTGGAGTCGTTGGCCCCCCCTTCGTCCCCTCTAGAGCCCTTGAAATCGCCTCCCCTCTTGTAGCGCTCTTGGGACCCTGTTGGGCTCCTCTTGGGGCCCTTGGAGCCATATTGTGGCATTGGAAGGCCGTCGGAAGCGAAAAGGCGAGACCACAAAAAACAATGTATCGTCTTGTGGTGTTTGAAGGAGCTTGGCGTCTTGGTAGCTTCCTTGGGAGGCTCCGTGGCTACTTGGAGCTGTCTAAGGGCGTTCTGGGGGCCTGTTGGGGCATGCTGGGAGCCATCTTGAGCTATCTTTGGCCAGTCCATCTATGACGTTCCAATGGGTCGCAGGGCGCCCCTCCTCCTCCTCCTCCTCCTCCTCCTCCTCCTCCTCCTCCTCCTCCTCCTCCTCCTCCTCCTTCTCTTCCTCGTGGTCGTCCTCCTCCTCCTCCTCCTCCTCCTCCTCCTCCTCCTCCTCCTCCTACTGCTCCCCGTTCAGGTCCAGAGGGACGGGGCGGTGGGTGTGGGGGGTGGGGGGGGCAAATCCCTCTGGGAAGGAGGGGGGTTGGAAGAGGAAACGCTCTAAACCGCTCGCGCCCTGCAGGGCGTGAGAGGAAATCCCAAGCCCCCACCCCCCGCCTCCCCTCGACCCAGAAGACTCGATGGCTCGTGTGGGGGCATGGATGGCAGGGCCGCGTGCACGATCCGATTCGATGCGCTTCGATACGCCGGCCAGGGCCGCGATTCCGATTCGGTCCGATTCGTGTCGGCTCACCACTGGCATCGATCGAGGCCAGCCTGAGCCAGGCGCGGCGATCCGATTTCGATTCGATTCTGGACGATTCGCTGGCGGTCCCGTCCGTTTCCGATCCGATCCGATTTCGCGATTCGATCCGGCTCTACTCTGCGGGGCCCAGAGGTCGCCACCTGCATGTGTCAGGAGGGAACAAAAACACAGACACAATTAATCGTCGATTCCCTAGAAAATATGGGAAAATATGGGAAGTGGGGGGGAAGACAGAAGCCCAGAAAATATAGGAAAATATAGGGAATATTTTCATTTGTGTGTATTTTTTGTGTGTCCCAGGGCCCCTTCAATGTGAAGCACCCGGGGGACCTCCCCAGGATGACGGCGAGCAGCAGCCGCTGGCCGGCAGGGCGCAGGGGGTGCAGGACGGCGGCTCCGCGCGGCACCGGAGGACTCCTCTTGCTTGGAACCCAGAGGCGACCAGCTTCTCCGCCGACTCCATCGGCCACGCGGTGGCCTGGTCCCCCAGCGGCACAACGATCGCCACCGGCCGGGGGGACAAGGACTCAGCGGGCGGCGAACGGTGTAGAAGAAGCCTTTCCGCCATCGGGGGCGCATGTCCTTGGGCGGCTGGGAAGTTTAGACCCCAGAAGTGGCATGGGGGAACATGAACTTTCCCGCCGCTCTGGAACAGGCGCCCCCGATGATGAAACAGTGTATTTTATACCGCTCTTCGCCCGCTAAAAGGACACGCGCATCTGGCAGGCCTCGGAGGCCAACCCCGCGCTCTGGACCTCCGTGGTGGCGATCGGGGGGCCGCAGGACTACGTCACCGCCCTGGGCTGGTCCCCGGACGGCGGCTGCCTTCTGACCGGGAACGTCGACAGCCGAGTCCGGATCTGGGCGTCCGCGGGCACTGCGCCAGTGCAGTGGGAGGTGCTCGCCACGCTGCGGGGCCACTCGAGCCCGGTGACGGCCGTGGCGTGGTCCCCGGATGGCGGCAGGATCGCATCTGGGGACTGCGGCAGGTCTGTGCGCATCTGGGAGCGCAGCGGCGAGAGCCTCGAGCGGTGGGCGGAGGTCGAGGTGGACCCTCCCGCGGCACACTCCGGCGGCGTCACGGCCGTGGCCTGGTCGCCCCAAGGGGACGCGTTGTTGACGGGCGGCGGGGATAAGGCTCGAATATGAAAATATTGGCCAGCGTGGACCCCAGACAGTAAGTTCTTGCACTGTGGATGTGTAAGCTACGTGGTACAAGCTATGTGGTGTAAGCTCTCTGGCCAGTTAAGATTTGTCAATCGTGAGTTGCCAACTCCACTGCTCGCGCAATCATCCAACCCTCCCGCCCACAACTTGCTTTGGGCCTTCTGGGACATCCTGGAAGTCCCTGTGGCCTCCGCCGGCCTCCTTGGACATCCTGGTCGTCTCGGGGCGCCACGAGGCCCTCTCTTGGGGCTCCCCGCAGCTGTCGTGGGCTGTTTTGGGCAGATCCTCGTGACTTTTGGGCACCGAAAATAAGTGAAGCGAATACCCTGCGAAAGCGCAGGGCGTGGTTCTCTTATTTGGTTGGCCTATGGCCGCGTCCGCCACCCCCCAGAACCGTTTCGGAGCAGGGCATCATGATTCATTATGATATTTCGTAGGGCTGCTCCGTCGTACTACGCCTGTATGCCGCAACCGATTATACGAATGCATGTATGATACATCATATGTATGTACATATATTGTAAACATATGGTTTATAATAACTGTACAGGTGTATCTATATATACACGCATTACATATGGACTGCATAGAGTCATGCATGCGTTTGAAATGTTACATCCTGATTCGTATAACAATATCATAGGTGTCCTGAGAAATACCATTACACCTTATACAAATACGAATGTAGGACCCGCAGCTCGACAGAAACAACACCAGTGCGCGTGCAATATCTTGGAGTCTTTTTAGACATCCTGGGAACCTTTTTGGGCCCTCAGGGGGTCTCTTGGGCACCGTCTCGGTGGAGTGGAGACAATATCGGGGCCATCTTGGGACCAATTCTTGCGCCCTCTTAAAGCCTTTCTGAGCCACAAACGGGGGTCGAAACAAAAAGTCCTAGACTCGCCTCGGAACGGGCCCCTCGGGACACTTTTTGAAGGGCTCATTTTTCTGCGGCGGTGTTCCTTCCCGGGTTCTCTCGGCACCACAGGGCGGCAGCCACCATTCGGAAGGAGCAGCACATCATCCGCGCAGCTGTCGCAAGCGAAAGGGGCCCAACAGCGCGGCATCGACCCGTAAGGGGGCCCAACAGCGCAGCACCGACGACGACAGCGAGAACGACGTCCACGGCCCAAGAGTTGCGAAGACCGTCCGATCGGCCACTTGGGGCCCGACCTACAGCTCGAAAGTGCACTGCGGATAAGGGGAGGCAGGACGTGCTTGGCACTGGCTGGCGCATCCCTGCGGCCGCGCTGGCACGCTCCAGCTCTCCCGCAGAGCAACCGGCTGGTTTGCTCCACTGATGCGGCGCGATGGCGCTCTCCGGTGGGCGCTTCCCAGCGCGTCTCAGAGGCCGCGCTGGCGCGCGGGCACTTCAGTGCGGGTCGGTGATTCGGGCGGGCGCGCGCGGTATCATGATGGCGTCGGAAACGGCGGCAACGATGATGATCGTAGCGATGTTAGTGCCCATGGTGATGATGATGACGACTGCAACGCCAATGACGGCGCCGATGCTGGTGACGACGACGATGGTGATGATGATGATGATGATGATGATGATGATGATCATGATGATGGTGGCGAGGCCCATGTGTCGGTGAAGAAGGTGATTGAGTGTTGTTGGCGGCAACGGTGGCGATTGACGATGACCATGCTGGCGCTGATGAGGGCGATGATGAGGACATGCGAGCGCGCAGGTGTTCAAGAAATCTGGCAAGTTTCTTGTTCGAAACATGTTTCCCCCATGTTTTGGAAGAGGTCTATTTTGAAACGCCTCGAACACCAGTTGCTCTGGACGGATTCTGCCGCGCGCGCGTGGCAGCTCGCGCGCGCGCGCGCGTGTGGCCCGCATGTCACCATGTGATACGGGCTCGCGCATTGGGCGCATGGTAGATCAATGCGGATGCACCGCGTGATTGATTCTATGAGAATGCGGGGTTTGGTCGAGATTGCTAGCTTGTCATAGTTTTTCTGGCCAGTGCGAGCCAGCAGGACATATGCAGTTGTTGTGGTGGAGTCTCGTGTTTTGCTGTTGGTATGTTGGAATGTTGGCATGCGCGCGTGTGTGTGGCGTCTGTAACGCTTTCCTGCAGTGGGTTCCTGGGAAATGATAGCCCGAAGTGAACGAATGACCGCACACTGTATCCTTTGACGGATGAGGGGCGGCGACGCCCTGCCTTCGTTCGGATGATTCCCAGGGGCCATGAGCGATGAGGCAGCACCATGCGGGAATTGCCATACGAAGAGGACGGATGAGCCCACGCTCGGGAGGGTGGTGGAATTTGTTTTGTCTCTCCTTGGAGAGGGGCGTATACGCGGTGCCAGCACGAGGCAGCAAGAGTGCGGCAACGGGCGGCAACGAGACGAAGCTTCGCTGGACACACCCAGCGCGCGAGGCACCAATAGTGCGACAACGAGGCGGCCACGTGGCGAAACCTTGCCAGACCCACCCAGCGCACGAGGCGGGAAAGAGGCGGCAACGTGGCGAAGCCTCGCCAGACCCACTTGTTTCACGAGGCGGCAACAAGGCGGCATCTGGCGACAGGATGGCAAAACCTTGCCAGACACCCAGCGCACGAGGTGGCAACGGTGCAGCAACGAGGCGGCAACGGGCAGCAACGTGGCGAAATTTCGCCGGACCCACCCAGCGTATGACGCGGCAGCGAAGCGGCCACGTGGCGAAACCTTGCGGCACCCACCCAGCGCACGAGGCGGCAACGAGGCGGTAAAAAGGCGGCAGCGTGGCGAAACCTCGCCAGACCCACCCAGCGCATGAGGCCGCAACGAGGCGGTAACGGGCGGCAGCGCGGCGAAACCTCGCCAGACCCACTCAGCGCGCGAGGTGGCAACGAGGCGGCAACGAAGCTGCAACGTGGCAGAACCTCGCTGGACCCGCCCAGCGCATGAGGCGGCAACGAGGTGGATACGGGAGGCCGGACCAACCCAGCGCACTAGGTGGCAACAACGCGGCAACGGGCGGCAACGTGGCGAAGCTTTGCCAGACCGACCATTAGCGCACGAGGCGCCAACGAGGCGACAACGAAGCGGCAACAGGCGGCAACGGGGCGAAAATTCGCCAGACCCACCCAGCGCATGACGCGTCCACGAGGCGGGAACGAAGCCGCAACGGGGGGCAACGGGGCGAAACCTCGCCGGACCCATCGACCCATCCTTGGCGCACGTGGCGTCGACAAGGCGGCAACGGGCGGCAGCAACATGAGGAAAGCTCGGCGGACATAACCGGGCCGCAAGGGGCATCAACGAAGCGGCAACGACGTGGCACCGGGCTGCAACGTGGCGAAATCTCGACGGACCCACCCAGCGCACGAGGCGGCAACGAGGCGAAACCTCCCAGGACCCACCCAGCGCGCGAGGCAGCAGCGTGCGGCAGCAAGGCGGCAACGGGCGGCAGCGTGGCGAAACCTCGCCAGTTCAACGCAACACACGAGGCAGCAACGAGGCGACGGATGGCTTCGTGGAAAATCTGTACCAGATCCGATCCATTCCAGAGGGAGACACTGAAGACTCTCTAAGTTCAAGCACTGTTCAGGGAAGCACGTACACAGAAGTTGTCGGGGGTCTGCGCGGATTCCGTGCCCGGTGCCGCCCTTGGCGCGCTCCGCGCGCCACGCAAGGGGGCCCCACGCCGACCCAAGAAATCTTGGCGGACCTCCGACAGCTGATGCTCACGTGGGTCGTCCCCTTTTTTTTTCTCCCTCCTCTTCGTGCCAAGGCGGCCCTCGTCTGGCAGGCCACCGACGAGGAGGGCTCGCGCTGGGTGGTGGCTGCCACCCTGGCCGGCCACGCGGCCGCCGTGGTCGGCGTCTCGTGGGCTCCAGACGGCCGGGCGGTGGCGACGGCCAGCGAGGACCGCACGGCTCGGGTCTGGCGCGCTACGGACCCCGAGATGCTGAGTTGGGAGGTGGCCGCCACGCTGCCAGGTCACGGCTCCAAGGTGACCGCCGTGGCCTGGTCATCCGGGCCTCCCAGATGGGGTCCGAGCATGCGGGGTCGGAGGATGGCGCCGCATCGCTGGCACATCGCCGATGCGGCTCGATGCGGAGCTGGACTTTCTCCGCGCCGACGTCGCCAACGCATCGCCGGCATCGCCGATGCGTCGGCGATGCGGCGCGATCCTCCGACCCGCATCTGCTCCGATCCCACCGGGGAGGCCTCCAGGTCACCAGACGGCCTGCGGCTGGTCACGGGGGGCGGCGACCAGAGGATCCGCGTGTGGCAGGCGAGCGGGGACGCGTGGGACGTGGTGGCAACGCTGCTTGCCGAGGAGGAGCCGGAGGAGGAGGCGGCGGGGCAGGGGCGGGTGGCGCGGAGGACGAGCAAGATCGGGCTGAGGTCGGAGGGCGGCATCATCATGCCCACCGACGTCGTGACCGCGGCGGGCTGGTCGCCGGACGGCACCAAGATCATCGCGGGCTGCGGCCACGCCAGCACGTACGTGTGGCAGGAGTCGGCAGGGGCCCTGGTCGGCCCACCGCCCGCGGCCTGCTGGCAGGGGGAGCCTGCACAAGCTTACCCAGCAGCTTATCCAGCAGCCTGCACAAGCTTCAAGCATCTTGTCGTTTCCTCGGGGCAGTTCGCAGCAACCACCCCCCCCGCCGCGGCCAGCAAGGCCTCGCGGCCAGCAGCGCTAACCCTGACCTCCGGTGTCAGGGCAAGCCGCGACGCGCCAGAGGCCCAGAGCTCTCGGCCCGATCCCGTACAGGGACGCCCCGCGTTGCGCCGTCGTTCTGCGCAGGGCCCCGGGACCAGCCGAGCCAGGACCCCCCGAGCGAGTTTGCGAAGGGAGTCGGCGGCGCGAGGTGAGGGGTGGGGGGCGCGAGACCAGCGGCCTTTCTAAGGAGGCGCGGGGGCTTCTCAAGACGCGCGGAGGCCTCTCAGAAGGTCGACCAAAAAACAAGCGACACCACCCCACCTACGGCTTTCCCTGTTGCGCTACAGCCCGTCCGGGGCCGTGACGCATGCCATGCAAAAGCCGCGGCCAGAGCTCCTGGTATTCGCAAAAAGCCCTGTGGGGCCACAGGTGGGGTGGTGTCGTTTGTTTTCTGGCTTAGAAGGCACGGGGATTTCTCAAAGGCACCCCACCCCGGCTTCCACGAAAGTGATCGTTTTCTTATACATTGTTTTGCCAATCGGTGCGGGCCCTCGCACCCCCCTCCCCCCCACCCCCACGGAATGGATCTTGGATGTTTTTTGCACCTGTTTCGGGCAGGTGGGGTCTGCAAGCCTCCTCAGAAGCCCTCGAGGGCCCTTCCAGGCAGGCGCCTGCCTTCGAAAGAGGGCCCCCCCCCCTCGCACGAGAGCCGCCCCACCTCGTGCGAGCGGCGGTGCCCGCTGCGAGGTGCCCCCTGGCGCCCAGGGCCCCATTGGGGAGGCGGCTGCCGCTCGAGGCCTGCCCGCGCCGTGCCCCCCCCCCCCCCGCGGCGCCTTCGGCGTCGCCACTGGCGCGCTCCGCGCGCCAGGGAGGGGGGGTCCAGCGCAGATACACAAAATCCGCGCGGAGCGCCAAAAGGTGACGTATGTGTTATGTGTACGGCGTTTTTCGTTGTTTCTTCTTCTATCACAGACGGGACCTCTGTTCGAGACTTCCTCCCGAGATTCCGACCTCAGGAGCCCAGACGTGGTGACAGCCACGAGTTCTAAGTCGGGCATGTCCCTCTACAGGAGGAATATTCCACATGAGTGAAAAAGATAGTCTGGGGACGATCTTACTACGTTTGAAGATTTGTTGATTCTTGTTCGCTTTCTTCCAAGACCCGCCAGAAGGAGGACATGCCCGACCTGATACGAGCTTTCCACTGCCCGCCTCGGGTCAGCAACACAAAGCGCGGGCCCGCTCCACCCCAACCCAACCCGAAGGCTCCAATTCTCCCTCCACTTCCAGTTGGGAGGGGGGTCGGGGAACATCGACAAAAACACATGGAAGCTGTACCCCCCCCCAACCCGAAGTTCGGGTATAATTCGGGTTTTCGGGTTGGGTTGGGGTGGTTTGGTATGTAGTCATAAGTCCTGGTGCGGCTCGCACCCACCCCCCACCCCTCTGGGATTAAGTCGGGCCTGTCCCCCTTCAGGGGGATTTTCGACGAAAAAATAATTTAAAAAAAACCTAAAAATAATCAAACAATAGTTCAAACATAGCAGGGGGGCTATTTTTTGACATGTGTGTTTTTGCCTTTTTGGGGCGTATGTTTGGAGTATCTTTCTGATGTTTCGTCGAACATCCCCCTGTATGGGGGACACGCCCGACATACCCCTAGGAGGGCCGCAGCGGCTGGCAGAGGCGGCGCGTCTGCTTGGGCCGCGGCACCCGGCGCAGCGGCGCCCCCGCGCTGTCCCCGCCGCGGAGCGGCGGGGGGGCGCCCACGAAGGGGGGGGGGGAAGGGGGAGGGGGAGGAGGGGAGGAGGAGGGGCGGAGGGGGGAGGAGGGGGAGGGGGAGGGGGAGGAGGAGGGAGGGGGAGGGGGAGGGGGAGGGGGAGGGGGAGGGGGAGGGGGAGGGGGAGGGGGAGGGGAGGAGGAGGAGGAGGAGGAGGGGGAGGGGGACGGGGAGGGGGAGAAGGAGGGGGACGGGGAGGGGAGGGGGGGGGAGGGGGAGGGGGAGGAGGAGGGGACGGGGAGGGGAGGGGGGAGGGGGAGGGGGAGGGGGAGGGGAGGGGGGGAGGGGGAGGAGGGGGGGAGGGGGAGAGGGGCGAGGGGGAGGGGGTGGAGGGGGAGGGGGAGGGGGAGGGGGAGGGGAGGGGGGGGGGAGGGGGAGGAGGAAGAGAGTCTAGGCCTCCTAGCTGGAGTCGGAGTAGATGGGGTCGGAGATTCGTGCCGCATCGCCGATGCGCCTCGATGTGGGGCCCGCTTTTCTCTACGCCGACGTCGCCGATGCATCGCCGCGGACGGCGGGGGCGTCCGAGAGGGGGGAGTTCGGTAGCATGTCATGGGAGCCTGGTATACTCTCTTAGTTTAGTGTTTCGCGTCGATTAGCGTCGATCAGCGTCTGGAGGTCGATGAGGTAGCGCCGATTTAGCGTCGGCTAGATGAGGTCAGAGTGTATGGGGTCGGAGTCGACGGGGTCGGAGATTCGTTCCACATCGCCAGTGCGTCAGTGCATGGCCGATGCATCGTCGATGAATCGCCGACGCATCGCCGATGCATCATGGGAGCCTAGTATGCCTTCTCAATTTCGCCTTTAGCGTCGATCAGCGTCGATCAGCGTCGATCAGCGTCGATCAGCGTCTGGGAGTCGATGAGGTAGCGCTGATTTGGCGTCGGCTAGCGTCGATTCAGCGTCAATTCAGCGTCGACGCGTGTCGGTTCGCAGGAGCCGACAAGATGGTATGGTAGGCTCCCGTGAGGTGCCACCGAAGGGAAGGGGGGAGGAGGAGGACAGTGGTGCGGGCATTGGATGTCCACATCCAGTGCGTCTTGGAGTTTTGGGCTCTCTTCCCCAGAAGCCGAAGGCGCACTGGATATGGATAACAGTCCGGCACCAAAAGGCTCGATGTGTATCCGTATCCAGTGCGCCTCGGCCTTGCGGCGCCCCTTCCCAACAACTCCAAGACGCTCTGGATATGGATGTACTTGGCATCGCTCGGACGTGTGCGTTTTTTCCTCGGCGAGGACCGTCGAGGAGCATCCTTGATCATTCGGCGAAAAAACCACGCACGAAACCGAAAAAAGCACAGGGAATGGACGTCCGAGCGATGGCCAGTGTAAGTCCTGCCCGCAAGATGACGTAGCTCGGGTCGGGCGACGAGGGGCGGGGATGGCCAGATCCCCCGCAGAAGCGCGAGGAGGATGGCGCTTCGCGCGCCGCGGTCCTGGGCCCGAGCGGCTGCACGTCGCCGGCGGGGCGGCGCGAGGGCGCGAGGATGGCCGCGCGCCGCGCATCGCCCTGGCGCGACGCGCGAATTTGGGTGACCTAGGATTAGGCAGAGGAGGGGGAGGAGGAGGAGGAGGAGGAGGAGGAGGAGGAGGAGGAGGAGGAGGAGGAGGAGGAATGAGGAGGGAGAGAGGAGCAGGAGGAGGAGGGGAATGAGGAGGAAGAGAGGAAGGAAGAGGAGGAGGAGGAGCAGGAGGAGGAGGAGGAATGAGGAGGAAGAGGAGGAAGAGGAGGAGGAGGAGGAGGAATGAGGAGGAGGAGGAGGATACGATACTTACGATGGGGGCTTGGGGGCAACGTCTGCTGCATGCAGCCGTTCTCGGCCTCTCCGCCTGGCGCTCCTCCTCGGCGCATCCAGCGCGCCTCTTTTGCGCGTCGGGAGGCGCCCTGAACATCAGCGGAGGCGCCTGGGAAATCAGCTGCGTGAGATGATTCGCTAGTCCCCCCTTCTACTAACCGCAGGAGGGGGACAAGACACGCGGACACAATGAATTGGCGACTCCCAGGAAAATATGAGAAAATGTGGGAAGTGTGGGGGGGGGGAGACGAAAACCAAGAAACTGTTGGAACATGTTCGGATTCTTGGGGTTTGTGTGTATTTGTTTGTGTGTCCGACCCGCGCTGTCCGCTGCGCCGGCCGGCCGCCGCGCCGCCGCCGTGGGCGACTGGCCCGCCGTCTGCCGCGCCGCCTTCGCCGCGGCCTCCTCCTCTCCGGGCCGGGCCGTGGGCCTCGGTGCGTCCGCGGGCCGGGGGCGTGTGGAAGACACGGCGCCGGCCGGGGATGGAAATACGGCGAGAGTCCTGGGACCTGTGTGTATCTCTTTGTGTGTGTTCCTGGGCCCCTTCAATCATCAGGGCTGGGTCATGGATTGCTACAGGTTCGCGCCTCGGAGGCCCCAGCCAAAGTGCCCCAGAGCATAGTTGTCCCGGGTCACTTGGGTGTCTTATGTTCAGGAGGGGACGCAATTTAATGTCGTCTTTCAAGATGGGAAAATATGGAAAGTGGGGGGTAAGACAAGAATCAAGAAAGTATGGGGAACATGTTGGGAATCCTGGGACTCCTGTCTATTTATTTGTGTGTTCCAGGGCCCCTTCAAATGAGTTCCCTGGCGTTCGAGCTGCCAGGACCAGGGCCACGACGTCTGCTGCCAGGTTTCATGGCCCCATCTTCTTTTCTCGGGAGGCGACGAGGGGGGCGAATCGCCCATGGGGGGTGCATCGCTCGGACGTGGGCATTTTTTATGTCGGTGAGGACCATCGAGGGGCCTTTTGGGTCACCTATCGCAGAAATGCACGCACGACATCGACGAATGCACGGGGAAGGGGCGTCCGAGCGATGGCGAGTCCAAAGGCGCCGATGGCCCCTGTCTTCGGCGAGGCCCCCCAGGCAAATGCGAATGCGTAGCCCCTGTCTTCGGCGAGGCCCCCCAGGCAATTGCGAACGCGTGGAATGCCCGGATGGGGTCAGAGTAGATTGGGTCGGAGGATCGCGCCGCATCACAGATGCATCGCCGATGCGGCTCGATATGGAGCCCGCGTTTCCCCGAGCGGACGCCTTCGACGCATCGCCGACGTCGCCGATGCATCGCCGATGCATCGCGGATACATCGGCGATGCATCGGCGATGCGACGCAATCCTTCGATCCCATCTCTTTTCAAAAGCACAGACAATTAATCGTCGATTCCCCGGAAAAGGTGCGAAAATATTGGAAGTGGAGGGGAAGGCAGAAACCCAGAACATAGTATAGATATGGGGAATCCTTGGATATGTGTGAATTTATGTGTGTGGGTGTGTGTCCCTGGGCCCCTTCATACCTGGACCCCTCTAGGGGGCCTCTAGGTAAGTAGTATTTAAGTAGTTAAGTACCGGAGATCTTAGCACGCCTCTGGCCCGTTGGGCCGGCGAATTTGTGTGTGTGTGTGTGTGTGTGTGTGTGTGTCCCTGGGCCCCTGCATAATTGGGCCCCCTCTAGGAGGCCTCCATGTTCGCCCCCCGTCGTCGCCTCCGCCTCTCTTTCAGCGCGTCCTCCGTGCCCCGCCCGCACCCCGCCCGCGCCCCGTGCCTCGGGACACGGTCGCGCTGCTCCCCCTCCCCTCTCTCTCCCTCCGCGGCCTGCCTGTGCGGTGCACCCGAGGACGCGGACCCGGGGCGGCGGCGGCGTGGGCGCAGCTGAGGTCCGAAGAGGAAGAACGTTGCATCAGCTTACTCAGTACGCATCATCCTCACTACGAACTACTCATACAACGTAAGTCAACAGCAAACACAACTACGTTGCAGACAGCCTCCGACTAATAAACTAACACTACCAAAACAAACAACTGAACAATAACCCAAAACAAACCCAACACCAAAACCACCCCACAACAAAACCACCATCTACCAGACGCCAGACTCCCTCCGACTCCTCCCTCCTCATCCTCCCTCTCCTCCTCTCCCCTCCTCATCTGCATCCTCCTCCTCCTCCTCCTCTCCTCCTCCTCTCCCCTCCCCCTCCTCCCCCTCCTTTCTCCTCCTCCCTCCTCCTTCTCCTCCTGCCCTCCTCTCCTCCTCCTCCTCTTACCCCTCCCCCTCCCCCTTCTCCTCCTCCACCTCCTCCCCCTCCAGAAACACCTTCGAAGGTACTCGCAGATCTCTCGGATCGGCGTTGGACCCCCAGGGCGGCGCTTTCGCCGCCGCTCTTTTGCGCGCGCTCCGCGCTCCACGCAGGGGGGGGGGTACCAGCGCTGGCCCAAGAGATGTAGAGGTCCGCGCGGACCTTCGACATCTTCTGTGTATTATGCAACCACTTGCAAGCATACCTCGCGACCTTTGGACCCCCCTTGCAGCGCCTCCCGCGCCGCCCCTGGCGCGCTCCGCGCGCCGGTGACGAGGACCCAGCGCAGATCCACAAAGTCCGCGCGAGGCGCCGAAAGTTTATGTTTATGCCGTTTCTTGTTCCTCTAATACCCCCTTTGCGGTCCAATCGTCGCTGGCCCATCGAGCACTCCCGCCGGGATTCATTGGCTGTAGGCATCCCTCGAATCCTGACCCCCCGGCCAGCGCTTCAGAATTATGGCCTGCAGAGGTGAGGTTTGCACAGCGTTCCGTGTGTTGCCAGAAGTGGTCCTGGCCCAAGGTGTCCCAAGCGTTCCCGCGCCACTGTGGAGCTCCTGGGGCCTTCTGGGCCTCGTGAGGGGCGCTCTGGAGTCCGCGGGGGCCTCCGTGGAAATCCTGGAGACACCTTGGGTAGGAAGGAACGCCTCCCCTGGGTCACACCCAGGGGGGTGAGAAGATGACCGCGCTCCGCGCATCGCGGCTGGAGAAGGAAGAGGGGGAGCAGGAGGAGGAGGCGGAGGAGGAGGAGGAGAGGCGCCCTTCTCCAGGGCGGCCTCGCGGGGGCGCGAAGACGACCGCGCACCGCGGGGGGTGCGAGGCGCGGCGTCGGGCGGCCCAGCCTCCTTGACAGCGCCCACTCGTTGCCCACCTCCGCCGAGGTGGGCAACGAGGTCCCAGGGGTGGAAGACTTCACCGACAGGACGGGTTGGCCCCTCCAGCCGCCCCTCGGCCTTAGCCCGGGTTTTTTTCTGCCCCGGGCGCGTGGCGGCATGGCAAGACAGGGCGAGGCGGCCCTCAATATATATGAGATGTGCCTGCACAGTTTATCCCTCTTCTTAGTGCTTCTGCAGTTCTTTTCTCGAGCCTCAGGCCTTCGATGGCCTGGGGTGCGCCGCAGCTTCACATCTTCGCACGTGAACTCCTCGCGGCCTCGGCTGGCGGCTGGCTCTCGCGGCCCGCGGCGCCGGAGGGGCCTCTCTGCATCTGCGAGCCACGGCTCGAGTGCCCGGCGTGCTCGCTGGGCTGTGCGCCGTGCCCGGAGCGCGCGGTGGAGTGCCCGGCGGTGGTGTGCCAGTGCGCGCCTGCTGGGACGACGCAGCCGGAGTGCCCGGCGGCGTCGGTGCCCTCTGGGAAGGGCTGGTCGCTCTCGCTGGGCTTGGGCGGCTGGGGGCTGCTGCCGCTCGCATTCCTTGCAGGCCGGCTGACAGCCGGCTGCCCGCGGCCCGCGCGCCGCCCCAGAGCGCCGCAGCCGGCGCTGGAGGCGGCCCCGCCCGCCGCGGCCTCGCTCGGGCCGACCGAGCGTCTGGGCGCGCCGCCCGCCAGCTCGGCCTCTACGCTTTCTTGGTCTTCGGGCTCAGCTGCCTGGGACAGTGCTGCAGGGGAGGCCGCGCCGTGGCGGTCGCGCCGATCCCGCTGATCGTCCTAGGCCAGGCGGGAGGGCACGATGGCGCGTGCTCCAGACATCCACGAGACCATGGTGGCCATCAACTTCGACGACGACGACCACTTCCGCTGGCATGTGCGCATTCTGGCTCATCGGTTGGACGACCTTCGGTGGGTTGCTCTCTCGCCGGACCTGGAGGTGCTCGTCCTGGACCTCTCTCGGCATCTCGTGGTGCCGGTGGCGCGTGGTGCTCCCTTTCCAGCCAGGATCGCGGGCGACGTCTACTCGAGCGACCGCTTCGACGAGGCGGCCTTGCAGGCGGCCAGACAGGAAGCAGCGGCCTTGGCAGATGTGCTTCGACCTGCGGGAGCCGGGGCGGTTGGGCCGGTGGCAGCGGCCCCAACCTTGACGATGGAGGTTCGCCGACACTGCCTTCGACAAGTTTGCCGAGGTCGTGCCGGTGGAGATCACTCGGAACGCCTTGAGGATGGTCATCAAGGGAAGCGCTGGGCTTGCCGAGGTGGAAGAGAATGGAGAGCGTTTCTGGACCTTCGTGGAGCGAGTGGCGAACCAGGATGTCGAGGACTGGCGGGAGGAGAAGACCAGTGGACGTGGCCGAGATGCCCGCATCCTCCCCATCCAGAGGGACATGGGCCGCTCGAGGTTCGCCAAGCTGAAGGATGCCCTCTCCGAGATGACGTTCCTGGAGGACCCGCCGCCAGCCGACTGGCCGTTTGCCGGTCCGCAGGCTATCAAGGAGGTGCTGGTGGCGGCCCGAGCTGCGAACGAGGACTTGACCGGGTTCCACGAGCACTGGGTCAGGTCTTCTGGCGTCAACCCGGACCATCCGGTGGCGCTCAAGCATCGGGATCTGCTGTCGGTGCTGCATCACTTGGTGGCCTTCGACCAGGTGAACGCTGGCCAGCTGGCTGGCGCGGAGATGTGTGCTCGACTCATTCTCCAGATCCACCAGGCCGTAGGCCGCTCTCCCAAGAACCCAGTGTTCCAGGGCACGAGCCTCATGGTGATGAGCTCGCTGGACTCCACGGGCGGCGTCCTCACAGGGAAGTTCGCGCGCTGGACGGCAGACGAGCAGAAGTCGCGGGCCTTCACCATGAAGCAACAGAGGCTGTACCAGGAGGAGGAGGACAAGCGCAAGGGCTCCACGGACAAGGGGCCGAAGGGCGGCAAGGAGAAGGACAAGTGACTGGAGCTTCCTGCTTCGGTCGCCTGGGGTTTGGGCCGACCCGGTGGTCATGGTGGTCGGCTCAGGCCTTTTTCCGCTACCACTACGCCTTCCTGAGGTGGCGGAGAGCGGAGGTGGCGCCCGTCACCTGTCCCGGCGGCGGCGCCGGCAGTCGCGATCTGAAGAGCTGGTGGAAGGAGCCGTGGCATCTCTCAATGCCTTGGCGGGCTGTCAGCCGGGAAGGGCTCTCACGCTCGAGACGCCCAGCCGCCTTTCTTCTCAGAGCATCACGCCCGCGCAGGACGGGGCGCTCAACAACATCGGACGTGCCGTGGCACACTTTCTCCCAACTCCGGACTTCACCAGCGAGTTTCCTGAAGGTGCCCTCCAGGAGATCATCAAGTGCAAGTCCATCTACGACATCGATGATGACAGTACCGTGGCGTCTTATGACCCCGAGAAGCTGGCCGTCTTGCATCGGCCTGGGGCTCCCGTCCCTGCTCTCGAGTTGGTCGGCGAGGAGTGCAGGCCGTATCTCGAGGATCCCGACTCCCTCATCGTCCTGCCGCCGCTGGAGTTGGCCGCGATCGAGGACCCCGTCGTGCCGCACTGGGACCCGAAGCTTGGAGGCTCTCAGGAAGCTCGCAGGGACTTCGTTGATCGGCTTAGCCGTGTGGGGCTTATCTCATGGAGGAGGCGGGAGCGCTGCAGGGTCGGAGCTTTCTTCGCCAAGAAGAAGAATGACGCGATCCGCCTCGTCTTGGACTGCAGGCCGACCAACCAGCTGCACAGGAAGCCGCCGAAGTCGGACCTCGCCACACCTGGCGCTCTCTCGAACCTCGTGCTGGCGGAGGAGTGGTGCCGTCTTTCGGCGGATGACCTCCCAGCCTGTGACAAAGGCTCAGGGAGCATTGACCAGCTCGACCTCTCGTGTGCGGGTATGGACCTCAAGGACGGCTTCTACCAGTTCAGGGCGGACAGCGTGGCGTCGTGGTTTTCGCTGGGTGTCTCTTCGTCCGCAGCGGACGCGGGTATCTCTGAAGTTTACGATGACGAACTCCGTGCCGTCGTCCCCGTTGAAGGTCAGGAGCTCGTCTGGGCGTGTTTTGGCGGTCTGCCGATGGGTTGGAGCTGGGCGATGTTCTTCTGCCACGGTAGCCTGGAGGCGGCGTCGCGCCGAGCTCTACGGCGGCTGGGGCTCCCGGAAGTCACGCTCAAGGATTGGGGACCTCCGCCGCCGTTTGGCAGGACAGCCGCCATCGTCGCGCCCTATGTCGACAACGGTAACATCATCGCGGGCAGCCCCGAGGCCGCCCTCAAGCTGTACGAGGCACTGCGTGAGGAGCTCACCAGCATCGGCTTCCTTCTCCACGAGGAGGCGGAGCCTGCGCCGGACTACGAGCTCGCGGGCCGGCAGATCCGTGGGCGACGCCGCTGCCTCATCCCGCGTCCTCGACGGATGTGGCGGCTGTGGGTTGCGCTGGACGAGATTTGCCAGGTCCGCCATCTCGGTCCAGCGCAGCTTCGCAGAGTCATCGGGCACCTGGTCGACCACTTCAGCGTCAGGAGAGAGCTCCTCAGCTGCCTGTGCTCGGTCTACCAGTTCGTGGGCGATGGATTGGGACCACCGCGAGCTCTCGACCATGCCGTGGTCACCGAGCTCAGGGTCGCCCAGGGCCTGCTGCCGCTCGCGGTGTCGGAGCTGGGCAGGAGCATTGCCTCGGTGGCATACTGCTCAGACTCGAGCTCGAGGGGCTTCGCGCTGCACGTCACCGAGACCGACCCGCGCGAGGCCTGGGCTGCAGCTCAATTCCATGAGAGGTGGAGGTTCCGAGAGGCCGACCCGCCTCCCCTTCCCGAGGATCGAGGTGACGACCTTCGAGGCGCTCTGGTGCCAGGAGCGGTGGGCTCGGTCCTCACTGGCGACTTCACCGCCTTCGCGCAGGAGCACCTGCTGGTCAAGCCGCGGCCGACCGGGCCTGCTGCGCTTGGCATCGCCGCGCCCGGCCTGGTGGAGGTCGTCGGCCGCGTCCCCAGGCTCGCGCCGAGCTGGGGCGAGCCAGGCCGCTGGCGCGCCGTGGCGATCGGCGCCTGGAGACGGCCTGACAAGATCCACAACCTGGAAGCTCGTGCTGCCATCATGGGCCTGGAGGAGTACTGCAAGGATCCCGCGAACCACTCGCGCGTGCTTCTCTCGCTCGGGGACAACATGTCCGAGGTCCTCGCCATGGACAGAGGTCGTGCCCGATCGTGGGAGCTGCTGGCTCTGGCGCGGCGCGCCGCCGCGCTCCAGGCCGCGGCCAACGTTCGCTGGGCCCGGAGGCACATCGAGACGGAGCGCAACCCCAGTGACTATGGGCCCCGGTTGCCGCACCTCCGGCCAGGCGAGGTTCGCCGAGGCCGTGGTGCTGAGGCGCTGGACGAGGGCCGCCTCCGCGTGCTGCCCGCTGCCGCCCAGGAGGCGGCGCCGCTGGCCGTGGCGCGCCCTGCGGAGGACGCGGGCCTGGCCGCGGTGGATGTGCGGCTTGCAGGTGCGGCTGCCGTGGCGCGCCCCGTGCGGCCCTCCAGGCCAGTACGGGAACCTAGGCCAGAAGTCCGTGCACCGCCGGGCCTTCGGCGTCAGGGCAAGGCCTTCCTGGAGATCTTTGCGGGCTGCATGCGCCTTTCGGCGGCGGTGGCCCTCGCGGGCTTGTCCGTGGCGGTCCCCATCGACTACGAGAATGGCGAGCATTTCGACATCATCTCGCGACCCATCGCTGAGGTGGTGCTCAACTGGATTCGAGGTGGCCGCATCTGGGCCGTCGCCCTCGGCACGCCCTGCACGCGCTGGAGCTCAGCCCGACGGTCGGACCCATCGGGTACCACGGAGAAGGATGGCTTGGAGTGCGCCCGCTTCACTGTACGAGTCCTACGGGAGTGCTTTGTCCACAACGTTTTCGTGGTACTGGAGAACCCGTGGTCGTCTGGGCTTTGGCAGTGGCAGCCTATCAGGAAGCAGCTCAGGCGTCTGGGGTGCGAGCGTCATGAAGTTCACATGTGTGCCTATGGTGCCGCCTGGAAGAAGCCAACTGGTCTCTGCAGTAACCTTCCCAACTTCGAGCAAGCGGTCCGCCGTTGTCCAGGCTGCCAGCGTCACGTCATACTACAAGGCTCGGTCTTCGTTGAGGGCATCGGTTGGCGTTGGCGGACTTCGTATGCCTCGGCTTACCCTCCAGCTCTTTGTCGGGCTGTGGCCCAGGTGCCTGGGGATGCCGCCCCGCCCAGCGCCTTCTGCCGAGGCGGCGAGCAGCTCTTGGCGCCCTCGTGGGAGGCCGAGCTCCGCCAGGCCGCAGGCACGGTCGACCCGTGCCCCGCAGCCGCACTGGCGCTCCCAGTCCTCCCGCGGCGGGCCTCGCTCGGCTGGGAGCGGGCGAGCCGCTCCTGGGACGGCGTCTCCCTGGGCGAGGAGCTGGACATCCTGCGCTCTCACCGAAGTGGAGACTCGTAACCGCCGTCGTGGCCAGCGACTTCGGCAGCATGGAGCTGAAGAGCCTGGATTCCTCAAGAAGCTGACGGTGACGCCGGTCACACGGAGGCGATATGAGGCCGCCTATGCTGATGTGGTGCGCTTCCTGGGCCGCTGCGTCCCCAGTGCCAAGAGCCTTGAGGCGTGGGACCGTGCGCTGGAGGACTACATCGAGAAGCTCTATCTTGCGGGAGATCGCATCACCGTGGCCAGGTACGCTTTCCATGGGGTCGCGTTCGTCAACGAGTGGCCCCGGCGAGACCCCTCGCTGCTGCCGAGGTCCCGGCTGGCCCTCCTCGGCTTTGCCCGGTCGTCGCCTGAGCACTGCCGTGACCCGCCCTGTATGGAGCAGGTCTACCTGGCCATCGACTACTTCATCGGGCGCGCTGCCGGCCAGGACCTTCTGCTGTACGCCATGGCGGCCGCGCACGCCTGGATCAGCGTCGACTGCTACCTCAGGCCGTCCGAGGGCCTGTCGCTGGTGGGCGCCGCTGTGAGTAGGCCGCGCCGTGGGGCCGCTGCGCAGGGTTGGGCTCTGACGATCGCGCCCCGAGGAGGGCCACCCGCCAAGAACAGGAGGTTCGATGCGAGTGTGGTCGTGGGTGCCCATGACAGACAGTGGGCCTGCCAGCTGCTTGAGCTCCTGACACGCAATCTAGGATCTGACCAGCCACTCTTTCGTTGCCTCACGCTGAGCACCTTAGAGCGGCTCTACCGAGAGATGAGTAAAGCTCTTTCTTTTCCTATGTTAGCGCATGGGCTTCGCCATGCGGGGCCTAGTCATGATTCGCTGGTGCACAAAGTTCCCATCGAAGATATCCAGCAGCGAGGGCGGTGGGTGTCTCTCGAGAGCTGCCGCATTTACACCAAGCCCGCCAGTCTCGTTCGCTCGCTCGGCCGTGTCTCAGATCAGCTTCTTCGCCAGGCGGCGCGCCTACGCAGTGACCTGCCCGAACGAGTGTTGCAGGTAGTCAGTGAGGCCCTCGCAGTATCTCGGCGTGCCGGCAATCCTGGCATTTCAAAGCGTGGCCGGAGATGAGCAACAGAGCATCTCCGGACTTCTTCGGGGACCCACCCCTCAGGCACCTCTCGCGTGTTGCGAGCCGGCTCATAAGATGCACGTCGACATCTATCGATCGTCGCTTGCTGCTCTCTTTGTGTGCATGCATGAGTGTGTCTTTGAGCCGAAGCACGTTTATTCAGGGATGTGAGATGTGCCTGCACAGTTTATCCCTCTTCTTAGTGCTTCTGCAGTTCTTTTCTCGCCCCTTTCCCCCCTTGTCCTTCCCTCTTCTTCCGTCTCCTCCACTTGTGTGCCCTCGACGGTGTTGTGCCACTGACTTACACTAGCCTCTTGTGCGCTGCTGGAGTTGGTATTTGGCATTTCAAAGCGTGGCCGGAGATGAGCAACAGAGCATCTCCGGACTTCTTCGGGGACCCACCCCTCAGGCACCTCTCGCGTGTTGCGAGCCGGCTCATAAGATGCACGTCGACATCTATCGATCGTCGCTTGCTGCTCTCTTTGTGTGCATGCATGAGTGTGTCTTTGAGCCGAAGCACGTTTATTCAGGGATGTATATATATATATATACATAAATATATATGTATATATGTGTATATATATACGTATAGCCGCCAAGCCAGCACGCGATGGTCCCAAGACTGTCGCTGCGATGCCGACCCGGCAGAGGTCGCCGCGGAGGCCGCCGCCGCCGGGCAGAGGTCGCCGACCCCCACGGGCGCGGGCGCGCCGCGCGGCGGCCGGCAGGCGGCGGCCGGCGCGGGCCGCGCGGGGGCCGGCGAGGTGTCCGCGGAGGCGGCGCGGCGGAGGTCGCCGACCCCGACGGGGGCGGGCGCGGTGCGCGGCGCCGGGGCCGGCGCCGGCCTCAAAAAGACCGAGTTTTCTTCCGGCTCGGGAGGCACCTGCGCGCCATGACGACGACGGACGACGACGACGACGACGACGACGACGACGACGACGACGACGACGACGACGACGACGACGACGACGACGACGACGACGACGACGACGGCGACGACGACGACGACGACGACGACGACGGCGGCGGCGACGGCGACGACGACGACGGCGGCGACGGCGACGGCGACGGCGACGGCGACGGCGACGGCGACGACGACGAGGACGAGAACGACGACGACGACGAGGACGACGACGAGGACGACGACGACGGCTAAGGGGTCGGAGTGGATGTGGTCCGAGCACATGTGGTCGGAGGATCGCGCTGAATTGCCGATGCATCGCCGATGCGGCTCGATGTGGAGCCGGATATTCTCCACGCCGACGTCCACGATGCACCACCGATGCACCGACGTCGCCGATGCATCGGCGATGTGTTTGCGATGCGGCGCGATCCTCCGACCCTTTCTACTCCGACCCTCTTGGAGGCCTCTAACCTTGGAGTTGGCGAGGGGGCTTCCTCCTCCTCCCCTCCCCCTCCTCCCCTCCTCCTCCTCCCCTCCTCCTCCTCCTCCTCCTCCTCCTCCTCCCCTCCCCCCTCCTCCTCCTCCTTGTCCTTTTCCTCTCCTCTCCTCCCCTCCTCCTCCTCCTCTTCTCCTTCTCCTCCTTCTCCTCCTTCTCCTCCTCCTCCCCCTCCTCCTCCCCGTTCTTCGCCTCCTCTTCTTGAGGGTGAGAGGAACCATTTGTGCACATGTGTCGTGCCTTGTCCCTCCTGGGACGTCCTTTCCAGATGGGCATTAGATGCCGAGTATACCCCCTTGCCCCATCCCCCTGCCTGGTCTTACTGGTACCCATCCAGGGCAGGCCCCCAGCCTGCTCGAACCATCACCATTCGAAGAAAAACGATCATCAACAACACCAACAACAGCAACAGCAACAGCAACACAAACAACACCAACAACACTAACCAAAGCAACAACACCACCAACCTCAGCAGCACCAACACCAACAACTACAACAACACAATCAGCAGCAACAGCAACAAACACAGCACCACTAACAACAACAATAAGCACATCAGCAACAACAACATTAACAACAACGCCAACAGCAACAACTGCAGCAACAGCAACAACAGCAGCAATCTCAACAACAACAGCAGCAGCAACAACAACGACAGCAACAACAACCACAACAATAATTGCAGCAGCAGCAGCAACAACAGCAGCAACAAGAACAACAACAGCAGTAACAGCAGCATAGACTTTGGGAGGTCCCCGCGAGCTTCTTGGATCTACGCTAGGGCCCCCTGGCGGCACCTCCGGCGCCGCCCCCTGGCGCGCTCCGCGCGCCGCAGGGCAGGAGATCCAGCGCCCACCCACGGGATCTGCGCGGATCTCCGAAAGCCTGCGCATGCCTCTGCGGGCGGTTCTTCTTGCCGAGGGGTGCCGCTCTCGGGTGGCCCCGCCCGCGGGGCGGTCGCCGCGCGAAGGCTGGCCGGCCCGGGGGGATACGCAGATCCAGAGGGGCCTCAGTCTGCTTCAGAAAACGTTTTTTTTTTGTCATCCTGGGCCCCAGAGCAAGTCAGGAGGGGACAAAAACACACGGACCCAAATAATCGTCGATTCCCTGGAAAGTCTGGGAAAGTCTTGGAGGCCATCGCGCAGAAACGGGGGCGACGCCGATCACAGCCCCACGTCGAAGCCTCAAGGATCGTTTCTTGGTGCAAGACTCTTGCGGCACTCTTGGTGTCTTCTTGTTGTCTTGGGGCGTTCATGGGCGCATATTGTTACCCTTTTGGGCTATATGCTATATTGGAGCTACCTTGAGGCCTTAGCGAACTTCGGAAATTAAACAGCAAGAAGGCAAACAACACTGAGCAACAATAATGATGATCATTCGGGACCCTCCTTGAGGGGATCCTCGGCCACCTGTAGTCGCCTCGGAGCGGTCTTGCGGCCTCCAGGAGGCATGGTAGAAGCCATGGGCAAGCTTGGGCTACTTCCACAGATCCTGAAGCCATCTTGGGCTGTTTGGATCCTTCTGGGTCCAGCTTAAGCTCTCGTGGACGCTCCAACGCGTCGAGGGAGGGGTGCAGACCCAGGGGGAGGGGAGAGAGAAGCACCCCCCCTCCCCGCAGCGTAAGAAAGGGGTGAGAACCGCGCTACCTCGCTCAACCACTCACGCCCCCACGGGCTGGCCAGATTCGCAAACGAATTGCACGCCGGTCGTTGAAAGTAGGTATTTTTGGATTCCCAAATCCCGATCTACTTTAAGCGCCTTCCTATCTCGAGAAACGACATGCTTTTGCTGTGTTTTGTTATTCTCTTGGAGGACCTGGACCTAATCCACTATATCCGCCTTCCTACTTCATGCTTCTACCCACTTCTTCCGACCGACGTGTAAACATTGAATCAACACACTAATAAGATTATACAGCAACTGGCGGCACAGCAAAGCGAGGACGGGTTCGTTGGAGGTGGGCCAGGACGGCAAGGCGGAGTGAGCGCGGGAATCAGGGATCCGCCGTGGAGAAAACATGAGGACGAGAGGAAGCAGGTGGAGCGCTCAGGGCAACGACACATCTGACGCGCACGCACACTTGCGCAGAACAATTACAAGATACGAAGTCACTGTCGGCACGAGCCCGCGAGCGCTTCTAGAGAGCTTACCGCTTCTGCTTCAGCCGTTGCGCTTGCTTCCAAGGCGTAGGGCTACCTAGAAACAGAGCGCGCTCGGAGCGCTCGTGAATGTGCCTCGTCTTGATATATACATATGAACGGATGTCTGGTGTTCTCTCTCTCTCTCTCTCTCTCTCTCCCTGTCTCTCTCCTCTCTCTCCCTCTCTCTCTCCCTCTCTCTCTCTCTCTCTCTCTCCCTCTCTCTGTCTCTCTTTCTCCTTCGGCGTCTCTCTCTCTCTCTGTCTCTCCTCGCCCCGCTCCCTCTCGGCTTGCCGGCCCCGCCGTCTCGCGGGCGCGCCCGCCGCACAGCTCATCTCCCTCGACGTGGGCGTGTTCCGGCAGCGCATGGGCGAGCAGGAGAGTGTCCCCTCGGGGGGCCCCCAAACGGCGTGGTGACCACACCGGTGCGGTGAGTCAGTGGGGATTCGGGGTCACCGCACGGGTTTGGGACCCGGGCCGTTCTCCGAGGATATGTCTCCGGCGACGGGGGCCTCCGGGGCCCCAAGACCGCGCGGCGACGGACCGCGCGGCGAGGTCTTGGGGGGTGATTTCGAGGTCACCGCACGGTCCGTCACCGCACCGTTTCGGGACTCCAAAGCCCCCTCGAACGAAGGATTGCAAAAAAACCTCCTTGAACGAAGGATTGCAAAAAAAAACCTCCTTTGAACGAAGGATTGCAACAAAAACCTTCGTTTTGCAATCCTCCCCCCCCTCCCTGGGGTGGAGGATTGCAATCCTTCGTTTTGCAATCCTCCCCCCCCGAGGAGGAGCCGTCGCCTTTGCCTCGGCCTCGTCGTCGTCCCCCCCCCCCCTCCTTGCTGTGCTCCACTCCAGCGGCCTACGGTCCAGTCGGGCGTGTCCCTCCACAGGAGGAGTATTCAAAAAAAAGAAGGAGTATTCAAAAATAGTAAGAAGTAGTCTGAGGACGATGCTTCGTTTCGTTCTGCCTATTTTCGGCTACTTTCGGCAATGTTTCCTTTTTCGTCGCACTTGTCTACTTGCATCCTCACCCTTCGGCGCATCCGTGGCCGCGTTCGCTGGCCGCAGAAGGTCGACATGGCCTTCCAAGGCCCTCGCATCCTCATCGGTGCGTCCTTCTTCTACGGGTCGACTGTACGGACCTTTTGATGAAAGTAGGTAGTTGGGGATATTATTCAGATTCCCATCTACTTTCATCGCCTCCCTATTTCCAGAGTCGATGACTTCTTATGTGACCGCCTATTGCCTATTATGTGGGCGCGCCGTAACCTCACGTACGTCAGCCACCTTCCTTCCTCATGCTTCTACGGACTTCGTCCGATCGGCCGGGAGGAGGAGAAGGAGGAGGAGTGCGAAGAGGATGGAGGCTTGGGAGATGAGGGAGGAGGGGATTGCACCCAGCGTCCATCCTCTCTGACGCGAGCATCACACGACAACGGGGGGAACCACGACCATCCAACACCTCCATCTTAAGAAGCAGGAGGAGGATGAAGGGGAGGAAACGGAGCACCTGAGCTTCAGGAGGTCCGCCCGGGTTTCCGCCTCCCTCCCCCACCTCACCCTCCCATTGGGCCCATCGTCGTCTTCGTCCTGGTCATCGTCCTCCTCTTTGTCCACGTCGTCTTTCTCATCCTGGCCGCCGCCCTCGCCGCCGTCGTCATGTTCGCCGCCGTCGTTGCCGTCGCCGTCGCCGGAGGATCCTTCCCTCCTGCACGCGCTTGGGGTGTACACCGCCATTGAGCTGGACTGCCCTAGGATCCTGCTGCGGCACCTCCAGGAGCGCCGCGTGTGTGCGGTGGTGTCGGGCCTCCTTCGTCCTCATCTTCGTCGTCGCTGACCCAGTCCTCGTCTTCCCCTGGTTGCGCCAGCGCATGCATAACGGGCGGTGGCGAGGGAGGCGGTCTTCTAAGCAAGGTGCCCCGCCTCTCGGAAGCCTTCCTGCTCTCTGGGGATGCGCGGCGTGCGAGGGAGAAGGCTTCCTCAGAGAGCGGCGGGGCTCCTCAGAAGCCCTCCCGCCTCCTGAGAGGCTTGGCATCGCTCGGACGTGTGCATGTTTCTCTCGGCGGGGACCATCGAGGACCATCCTGGACCATCGAGCAGACAAAAAACGCGCACGAAACCGAACAATTCACGGGAAATGGACGTCCGAGCGACGGCAAGGAGGTGCTCTGTGTCTCCGGCCGGAAGGCTCAGAAGGCGAGAGAAAGAGAGAGAGAGAGAGGGAAAGGGAAAGGGAGAGAGAGAGAGAGAGAGACAAAAAAAACAAAAAGAGAGAGCAAACGAAACGAACGTGTATATATATATATATAAAGAATAATAGCAAGAGGAATTGTTAGGGCTGTATTCAGCATCATTTGCAGCCCCTGGCCTACCCCCAAGGCGCGGCGAGAGGAGTTCTGTGCCTCCGGCCGGGAGGCTCGTCGATGCCCCCCCCCGGAAGGCCGGGGGTCCTCCGACAAGCCTGCCGGGCAGGCCCGCCCCCTCTCCCCCCCGCCCCTCGGCGCGCCGCCTGGACTCCATTGCCGGGCGCCCCGCCTCTCGGCGCCCAGAGATCCGACGTCGGGAGTTCAGGGGCGCCCTCGACGGCGCGAAGTCATTCGCGCTCCGCGGTTCGCGGTTCGGCTCC